ACCTAAACTATCAACTACATATCGTCTTGTTTTTGTCTGAACTTCTCATTAGCAACAACAAAAATATCGAATTATGTCCTGTACCATTAATTGACCTCGAAATTGTCACAACAGCAATAAAGAGCAAGCGAAATACAACCGTACCACCAGCACTAATTAACATCAAGGATTCTTTAGTATTAGAATCCTTGACTTCGTATAGGTATATGATGAATGTATAGAAACTGTAAATAAATGTTATTTATATAAAACGTATTACGTGTAAATAATTAAAATATGCTCTTTTGCGTTTTATTACTTTTAGCTTTAGGGTTTATGTTGCCTTATTATACTTTAGTTATTGCGGCATACATGACCAATATTTAGCCTTGGTGTGTGAAGGTAAACACATCGTTCCATTCCATCGCATGACCAAACTGGCCATGACTTAAGCTGGAGCTAAATTTGCGTGGTAATTAAAATTTAGCATCCTGGCTATTGCCTTTAGAATATTATATTAGGTGCAATCTTCGAGAGTTGCTGAGATGATTGTATCTACAATTTATATGTGAAGAAAATATCTCAATTCCTTGGTATAATTCGAACAAATATTCCAAGTGTTGTGTAAACTAATTTTAAGAGGATGTTGATGCATACAGCAGTCCGGAGTGTTTTATTAACATATCGTGACTTCAGTTTTACATTATTGAATGAAAAACGCCGTTTGTATCACAAAATAAGGGTATGTTGAGTTGTTGACCACTAAAAGATCAACAAACCCTTAGTTGAACGTCTTGGCAACCTACACATTTATCCTCTTCGCCACTGATTGGCTCACTTTTCACTTGTGAAACTTATCGGAATGAGGGTGATGTGGCTTTATTACTTTACAGCTGAAATTTTGGTAATACACTGTAGTTTAGAACAAGGGTCCAGGTTAACCAGCTACCAATGAAAAAATATAGAAAACATTTCTTACCTCAAGAATAAAGGAATTGCAAGATTCGTATTCGGGTTTTTGGTATTGTGTATTTTATTTTCGGTGATCTGGGGAATCTTAAGAATTTAACCCCAACCAGAATGGGAGATCAGGCCCGGTTATGTTAGATATACAGTAGTTCCTGGGTTCTGTGGCTAGGTTAGGTTAGGTTTGGTATCTAAATACAAGGATGACCGAAACTAAAATGTTAAAAAATTTTCCCATAGTTTTCCCATAAATGAAGAAGCAGCTGCCCACCCACTTCAGAATGATACCATGTTTACATGTAACTGTTGACTCTGAATGCTAAACAATGTTTTCCAGCTAGCAACTAACCAACCTTCTTTCCTTTCCCTACAAACCTACCTACTACCTGTATAACCAAAAAGAACAAGAAATAATACAGTACTGTAATAATATTAACTTCCATCTTATGATAGGTAAGTTTTGTTAGTTCATCTTAACTATGATAAATTGCATTGTAATATAATATTGTAATAATAATATTCCTGGAACACAGTACTGCGGCTGCTGGGAAAGCACCGCATCCATGAGTATCACCAAACTTTTTTTGACAAAATTTTTAAATACCCAGTATTATTACTGTATTATATGTACTGTTTTGGGTTATTATTCTCAATGTAAAATTTTCCAGAAGTTGCTGCTGTTGCTTCTTAGTGAGTATGAAATTTAATACCATCATTAATACAGGTACAGTATTATGAAAAATTTGGAATCCTCCACATGTAAACAAAGATAGCGTCCTCCTTGTACGAGTGACACGGATGGTGTTTATTTATGAGAAACAAGGAAAAATGGAATATGAAATGTGCTATTCCTCCACCCAATTTTCCTTATTCTTGAGGCAAGAAATAAGTTTTCTTCTACAGATATTACTGAAGGCTTACTGCATATGGCAAAATCCCAAATTGGGTAATTTTATGACTAAACTTGGACAAGGCGAATTCATTACCCTCCCTTCCCCCAGCAGATAGTGAAGTTGGTTGGAAGTAAACTTTGAATTCTAGATTGACAGCTTGTAACTTAGCTAAGCTAAAAGTACAATGTGCACAAGTTGATGTGATATTATGACTTATTGCTTTCTACCTTAAATGGTGGTTGTTTCGATAGATCCCAATTAGGGACTCTTTTATAAAGAGAAAGCATAAGAAAGGAATGAAAGAATTAGCCCTAACGTCTAATATCTGTGGGATATCAGCTCACAGAATTGATGGACATTCAGTAATACCTGTACATGGGTTACATAGTCCATGCTTAGTCATGAAATGGGATTCTAGAATCATTCCTCCATTTTTTAAGGGATTTTTATTTTAAATTAAATAATTTTTCAACAGAATCATCTTTCTGAAGAAGACTGGAAACAGGTTGTGGGCCTCTCAGGCCTGCCTATTGTTCACCATGAAGGATATGTCTGTCCCCTGCCACCCAATCATCGCTTCAAGATGATGAAATTCCATCACCTGTATCAAATTCTTTTAAGTGATGGTGTTATCAACAAAAATAAACAAGTACTGTATGTTTACAACAGTTTAGAACTATAGAAATGTTTTTTTTTATTAATAAATCTTGTTTGAAAAGTGAAATATCAGGTTATTACAAATGATCTTCCAGATTTTAAATATTTATTTTGAAAAAATAAATAATAAAGCTACAGTAAAAAACAAGATACTGTAGACAGTACTCTATTTTCCTCCACATATTTTGTAGCTTATCATACTGAACTTTCTTAACAGCCTTATGTACGCTTTTCCTCAAAATTTTGAAAGTTTCTGGCATTGGTGGAACAAAATCTTTATATTTAACACAGTCCCCAAGGAAAAAATAGCTTTCTCAGTTTCTTCCATAATAAATACAGTTTGATAATCCGCCTTTTCTGTAATAATTACCACAGGAATGGCCCCTTATGTGAATTAGAAATTTTGGAGGGAGTATTCATCATCTTCAGTGACTGCCTACTTTTTATTTGTACTGTACCTGTATTCAAATAACTTTGACTTGAACTAGCCTGGCAGATGCTTCATATAATATGAACCTGATATAGGTTATGGTTAACAAATCTAATATCCTCTTTGTTTCTCCTGCTAGGTAATACAACCTCGTCAAGTAAGTCAGGAGGTTGCTTCATCTGTTCATTCAGAATGCTATGTTAAGAAATTTTTCAACGGCCTCACATCACAGAAAGAGCAAAGAGCAACAGGATTCGAATGGACACCAGGGTTAGCCAGCCGAGTTAGATACGAGACAGGTAAGATTAATTTTATGAAAATTTTGTAGTACTGTATACATAACTTATTAAAGAATGTGTATTTATTGGTAAAGTTATATTGGGCATGTTTTAAAGTACAGCTGTAATGAGGCATTTATTATTCAGAAGAAGATACTGTTTCTGCAGCACAGTTTGTTATTCGCCGATGTTACTAAAAAAAATAGATTCGAAACGATGTGGCAGCAACATCGGAACAGAAGACGAGCATCTCAATAGAAATATATAGTAAGTCCTCGATATATGCGAGGGATGCGTACCTGAAAACCCTCACATAAACCAAAATCGCATATATTGAATACTTAGTTAAATGGGGAAAAAATAGGATGCATTCCATACCTAAAATGAAAATGTTCCAGACCCATTTTCAAGACAAATAAACCATAAAACAAATCAATACAATATTATTTTTTAAATAATTGAGAAAGCAAGTGTACTTAACAAAAGCAGATACAGTAAGCCCTTGATAACTCGGCACATATGGTGCTCTGGCCTTTCCAAGTTATCCTAAATTCTGACTTATCGAGGCACTTCCCCCCTCCTACAAAAATACAACAATAAAAAATCAGTGAGCCATAAATGTGTACATGTAATTACTACTGTAAATGTAAAAAGTAACACTTTCCAGCACTGCAGCAAAAGAATGAAGCATCATAGTAGGAGACACAGATACATGGTAGGTGACACAGATACATGGTAGGTGACACATGTATGGTAGGTGACAACATGTATGGTAGGTGACACAGATACATGGTAGGGTGATACAGGTGGCCAGATATGCCGAGATTTTCCCAGATAATTTTATAAATCTTGGCATTTCTTGAGTTATACTAATATATTCCAAGACCATATCCATGCCGAGTTATATGAAATTCCAAGTTATCGAGATTTTACTGTACATCAGCTTGGGTAGACGAGATGGAGGTGGTGGCAGAGGTTTTACATAGTGGGTGATGGTGTTGGAGTGACATATGCAGAGTCGTCGGGGTTGGAATCCATATCAGGGAGTGTGACATCTCGCATAAGCTGAATTTTGCTCAGATTAATTGAATTCCTGGTACAAATACGGTCTTCGCATTCTGTATAAGTAAATTCACATATGCTGAACTCACATATATCGAGGACTTACTTTCATATGCTGACACCTGTTATATTTTAGTGTATTTTGTTCTACGTCTTTTAATTCTGGTGACAAAATTGAAAAGATCTGATGATGTCATTACAAATTATACTACAGGTATTTACAAATGTGTATTCTGTAAGATTTTTACAAACAAGGCTTAACACACAAATAAGTGTCCTCCTTGAGGCCAGGCTCAAAGGGGAAAATAAAATGCTGTGGACTAGTCTACAAGTTTTTCAGATAATAGAAAACTTTCTTTTAAAAAATAGGTAATACTGTAGTTGAGAGAAAATACATAAGAAGGTAGAGTTCCAAAGTTTGATAGTAAATTCAAATAAGCAGGCTTCACAGTGACCTTCCCTCAAGTTGCCAACTGCCTCAATAACTGACCCAATAAATTTTCTTCAATCCCTTCTATCCACTACTTACTGATGTCGTTCTATAGTCCTCTGACAGATAAGTTGTACCTATATAGTATTTGCTAATACTTCACTCATATTATTTTTATGACAGGTGGGACCCTCTTAGCAGCTAAGTTGAGCTTGGAGCGAGGGCTAGCATGCAGTACTGGAGGAGGTACTCATCATGCTTTTCCTGATCATGGCTCGGGCTACTGTCTTATCAACGACCTGGCTGTTGCTGCACATAATCTAATAGCATGTGGTTTAGCAACTAAAATATTGATTGTTGATTTGGATGTTCATCAGGTATGTATGCTGTTAAATTGAGAAGCTTTATAATAATTAAACAGTTTCTATAATGAGGAGATCTTATGTTATTAAATATTTAACATAAGTATAAAGGAATGAGTGCAAAATGGGAAAATAAAATTCCTCATTGCATAATAGATAATACTGTATTGTTTTATGAATTTCAGTTGAGGCATATAATAATACTATAAAAGAAATAACACCATGAACAATCTTATTTCTTTTCTCTTTTTTTGATGGGCTGCTGAAGCGAAAAATGTGGTTGAAGAACACTAACACAATAAAAACTATTTGAGGTGCAACTCTTGGTTTGCAGGGCATTGTGGCTATTGAGGTTTTATAACTCAATATTATTTTGGGCAACTTGTGTACTGTACAGACATGTTTATAAATCAGACAACTCGGGGGTTCTCTGAACCCGACATGTGTGAGTGGGACTGAATTTCAGAAATCCACAAAATGGCAACTCGCCTTACATCCATAGCCCCTAAAAAGTAGGTACCTGTACTTATAGGGGTCAGTTACCAGTTAGGCAAGAACAGAGGTCTTGCCTGCCTTGCTAACACATGTGCTCAGAAACCTGTTTCATGGTTATAAAACTGAGCAGTAAGACCAACCCTATTTATTTGTAGTCATTTGGTCATGCTGATCAGATGTCTTTCTGGCTTGCTCCATGATTTTGGCAACCAAATACTGTACATGTAGTTCCTTTATGATACTTGTTACTGCCGTATGCGCTGCCAGTAAAGCCCTCTCATGCATCACGACGCACCATGATCTCAGGGAGGAAGGCGGCAGTGCCAACATACAATTCTTGTGCGAAACAAATGACACCACAAACGAAGGTTTTTGACAAAGGCCCATGAGGCATACTGTTATTCACCAATCATATTGTAATGAATTAATATTTCAAATGAAATAACTAAATTAAGCCCACCATAATAGTTAGAAAATGTCCCACAATCACATCTACCAACCCCAGTGAGACAACACAATTGTTCAGTTCCAAATTCATCGGACCTCTCTTGAAATATATATACTGTATATTTTTTTTTTCCATGTGTACATCTGAATGTTTGTTGACCAATGGAAGAGATCTGCTGTTACAATACTGTACAGGTATTTAAGACACATATGTGAAACTGGATGTCACACAATCCTTGACATTAGCTTATACAGTACAGTATGCAAGGTGTGTTATCATGTTCCAAGAGTGGTAACAATTACTTAACTGGTCACAAGCCTCATGATGGATTGGGACCCTGTCATTGTTTTACCAGATAAGGGATCTACCCTAACACTGCTAAGAGGATACTGTACTCTGGTTCTCTTGGAAGATAAAGTTGCATACATTACTGTCTTTAAGGAAAGTTCCATTTTAGAAGTGCCCACATCCTTAGGGTTAGTTGGGTCTGCATGTAATAGTATACTCTTTTGAGGGATTATTGTGTGCCCCTCTGTGCTCAACAGTAAGGAATGTTGTAATCTTTCAGGGGATCTGACAACAGGTTAATTACAACCAGGTTGTTAATTAGGACAATTACTGTAGATTGTCATAACCTATCTACCGATGAGTCTGATTACTGTACCACTCTCATTTGCTTTAAATTCTTATAGGCATTTGTCATTTTGATGCGAATTAGATGGTTAATAAATTGCATACTGTACTCATAAGGGTTAAATTTATTACCCTGTACAGGGTATTTTTAAATTTCTTAAATAAAAGCTGGCTTTTATCTTTTCAGGGTGATGGTACAGCATTTATATGTCAAAGTCATCCAGATATCTTCACACTGTCTTTACACTGCCAAAATAACTTCCCACTCAGAAAGCAAAAGAGTGATTTAGATGTTGGGTTGGAAGTTGGTACTGGGGACAATGAATATATGAAAATCCTATCAGTGAGTACAGAGGTTTTGTACATTAATGTGTACTTTAATTTTTCCCTTTACAGGGTATTTAGATATGGAAATTCGTCATAAATTATTTATGTAATCAATTTAGCATATAAAATGTGAATATACTCTTCTAATAGGATAGCAGTTAATGTAAATTGTGACTTAAACATGAAAGAGCATACAGAACATCTTTCTGCTTGCCATAGTGGGGAAAATTGTGTCAGTCCTGCAATGTGAAAGTTACGGAATAGGCATCTATTCTAATATAAGCGTCTATTCTTTCCAAAATATACTCTTACAATCAGTCCCATATTTGCGAAGGTTCGGCATGATTCAATTTACTAATGAAAATTACAAGGCTTAAAAAAAATTTAATATGTAATACTGTAATGAAAATATTCTAAAAATATGTACAATAGTTTTTTTACAACCAATTTGCTTACTGTACTTATGTCACTGATTTATTTATCTGGTATACATAATACAGTATTCCAAATGTAAATCACTTATAGGATCAGCATTACAGATGTGCAACAAAAAATTAATACTGGAATATATGAGTCCTTCAGTGACTTTAAATTATACAAATAAACTTTTAAAAATGAATGATAAAACAATGTAGGATAAATCTTCAGCACTTTAAGTAAATGGGGTGGAGAAGGATACAATATATAAGTACTGTACCTCTCATACTACTATAGGCCCTAACAGATAATTATTAACGGGTGGGATAAGTCAGTGACAATCGCTAATAAACAATATTGTACAGCTACACCTACAAAGCCCTAAATTTCTCCCACATAATGGTCTAGATCTGTACTCAAACTTATAGTAGGGAAAAAGATAAGTTTTCAATCACTGATTGTCCCTTTCAGACACCTCTAGACTTGACATATATTTATCTTGATGAAAATTTATGATGCACTTTTTCTTCTAGGAACACCTACCAGCTGTAATAGACAATTTTCACCCAGATATAATCCTTTATGATGCTGGAGTGGATCCTCATCAGAACGATCAACTTGGCAAGTTAAAACTAAGTGATCAAGGTAAGTTTATGATAAAGAGTCACTTTCCACAATACCTGTAGCTAAAATTAAAGATAGAAAACAAAAAGTAAATTCTGCTTATGTTGGTTCAAATACATATTATGCAGATGCCATGTTCAAAGCCCATGAAAATAAATCTTTCAACCTTTGAAATGGAAGCTGGTGCTCTGAAGCTAATCTGTGTCACAGTACAATGAGGAAGTAATTATTGATCAGAAGTCACTGGAGAGTAAGCCAAGCCACCCCCTCGACCCTTACAGCTACGATGCACAATGAAGTACTTATCAGCAACCAATGTTGATGTTTCTTTTGTTTTTCTTCCAATTATATTATGACTATACAAATTACATATAGCTCTATGTCAAGAATGTATAATGTCTCCATGATTGTTCAGTATTTTCATGGATGAGATAGTAAGACACTGTATTGGGAACAAAACTCATTCCAATGAAATTTTCTCCTCCAAAGTTAAAATGGCTCTCATTATGAATAACTCATTAATGCAATGGTCCCCTATGGGGGAAGTATATACTGTAATAGCTTATAAAGAGAACATATTATACAGGTATCCCTCTATTTAGTATTTACAATAGGGTTACATTTGTGAAAAATTCATTGCAGGTCAAAATATCGTAAATGAGGATCATTATAACACGAGGTTCAATGGGATACGTTCCAAGCCAGTCGGACACCCACGTGCATCACCGAAAATAAAATTCCTACGATAATACTATACTTTATACCTACAACAAAATTAAACAACACTCACATCATTAAGAAAGAGCCTGGCCAACATTACATGTCCCCTTCGAGGCTAAGGGGACTCTTGAAGGTGGAGTGGAGATGTCACTCTAACTCCCACACAGCCTCTGTGGAGTCTCATGCTGCTTCACAATGTCAAGTTTCACCTCCAGAGAGACAATTTTCGTGGGTGCCTTGGTCTTCCTAGACATTTTCAAAGTTACACAGCTCACTTCACTGTCACAAAAACAGAGTGAAACCACTTGTCACATAAAGCGAACAATTATAACGTAAAAACAAGGCTAGCAGCCAACAATTCTCACATCATGTTCACACAGAGTACTTTACCATAACAAAAACATAGTAAAAATCACTCGTCACCAAAACAGAGTAAAAACTACAATACGAATGTTAGTGATGTCCTCACACTGTAAAAACAAAACAATGATAAGTAACAACACCAATACAAACTGATAATCGTTGAGCTACACGATCACGGCCATGTGTGATTACCATGGAACAAACTTTGGGACTGTAGTGTATTAGGTGGCCATGTGAGGGTAGATCACAGCTGGCAAGTGCAGCAAGAGATGCGTGCCATATTCCGCATTGGCCAGATGATGACCATTGTTTATGCAATTTTTTTTATTGTAAATAGGGGGATGGTCTTAATACATCACCATCATTAAAACGAAATATCATAGATAGGGAGATCGTAAACTGGGGGATACCTGTATATAGACCCTTGTCTCATTCAGTGAAACATGGTCAAACATGAAACTAGGTAATCCTGACTTCCATTTTGGACACATAAATACAGTAGTTCATGAACAGGCCAGATATTCCATTGCATTAAAAAAAATTCGTCACATGACAGGATGACTTACATACTGTACTGTAAAATCAATCCCACATATTGATTCATTACTGAGATTTGAAATTGCTTATAACAAAACAAACTCTTGCATCATGAAGTTATAAAGGGTAAGCAAATGGCTGGGCTTAAAAGTGGATTCTTGCTGTTTGTTCCAAATTATGACCAAACACAGCACTGCTGGGGTACACAAATTATTAGCCTTTTATTTTAAATGGCAAGAAGTACTTCAGAGACCCCTTTCACAGATGTTTATAACTGTAAAGTCACTTATCAATTGATTAGTCCCTGGCCACTATATCAAAGGGTTGTTCTGGGATATAACCCAAAACATAGTTGGCTGCATAACGAAGGTGACTCAGGATGGCAGATAGATTATAAAATGTCGACTTATAAAGGGCAAATAGTTAATATGGAATGTCTCACACAGTTTAGTTTTGGGACTAGAAAAATGCAGTCAAGAATAGATAGTAGGGTGATGATTAGGAAGTACAGATGAATATGAAATATATCAGGTGTGTGGAGGGCCACGTGCACAAGCCACCACACCCGAATTGTTAGAGCTTGTAATTTTGGTTTTTGAAAGTACAGTATTGATATTCAAGTTACGAAACAAAACCGAGAATAATTAAGGAAAACATTTTAATCTCATTTTATTTACAGGGTTGTTCAAGAGAGATGTGTATGTCCTAAAATCAGCACTATGTCGTGGTATCCCTGTTGCAACTGTTATTGGTGGTGGTTATGATGGCATTATGGAGCTCTCTGCAAGACATACCATTATTCACCGTGTTGCTCAAGAAGTATGGAATACATACCTTTAAACTTTCTGCATATTTTAAACTATGTAGTTTACATAAACTGGGAAATATGAAATACAGAACAAAAGTTTGTTTACTTTTTTATTTTTGAACCATGCAATATAAAGTATTTTTTTAACTTTGGTTTGCAGAAAAAGAGAAGATCCTTCTGCTTATATAATAAAATATATTAATAAGAAATGCTTTTACAGCTAAAATCATATTATCACATCCATAAAAAAATTAAAAAAGTACAATACAGTACTGTACATGTATATACCAGGAATGTTTATATTAATATTCAGTAAAATGTTAGAAAATATAATACTGTAGTTCTAAAAATGTTATAATTTCAATAAAACACGAGTGTAGGTAAAAACAGACAAGCATTGCTTTAAAATAACTTTGAAGTCTTCTGCCCGAGTTGCTCAGCTAATTTATCAATATTTTCTGAAAAAAAAAATATATATATTTTATCGATTTGTAATTGGGACTTTAGTAAGGAAGTGTATTTTATATATACTGGTATTTTATATACAGTCTCTCCTCGACTTACGACGGGGTGTTCCGTCCCGACGACCAGGTCGTAAGTCGAAAAGGCGAAAATAATACATAGAAATCTAAAATGGGTGTCTCTTTTTCTTCTCAGCACCACGAGAACTCTCACTTTTACGCTTGCCAGTCATTTTAAAGGGAATTACAAAAAAAATTTTTTGTCAGTACACAGCGCAATCACTAACGTCGGGACTCGAAAATACGTAATGTGAAAAATATTTTATACGACCATGGCCGTCGTATGTCCGGGTTGTCGTAAGTCGAGGAGAGACTGTATACAGTACAGTATACTCAATTCCATCAAATTTAACAGCTTTGGGGCTCTACCTTATCGAATTGCTCAAAGGGTTTGAATTATGCAAAGTGCCTGAATTTGTACATTTTGTCGAGATAGTGGGGGTTTTCAGTAACTCAAGTGGGTAAAGAGTGTAGAAAAAAGCAAAGCTACTTCTGATATTTTTTAAAATCCAAAGGGCGTGTTGATAACATGTGCTACTAACCTATTTTGCATTTTATTTACCGTAATAGTACCCCCCTTTTAACATATGTAATAGCAGTTAGTGAAACCTCCATTTAATGGACTTCTCTCCCCATATAATCCATTAGATGCATGTTTCACATCTAATGGTCCCTCAATATAATGGATTTCCATATCTATATAATTCTTTAGATGGAGGTTTTACATCTAATAGACCTTCGGTATAACAGACTTTTTTTATCCATATTTAAATAAATACTGTATTTATTTTTATAGTTTTAATTTCTTTTGGTATGAGTACTATACAGGAATACTTCACTATTCACAACCCTGCTTATGCGCAATTGATATTTTAACATCCTTATTCAATATTCACACAGCATACCCCGCTTATTCACAAAGAAAAAAGACAATACCCTACAGTAATATTTCAAAACCAAGCAGGCTAGCCGGCAGCTCTCATATTCCGCTATAAGGCCCGCTTCACATATGCGTCTTTTTTCTGTGTGTGAGGAACTGCGCTGTTTAGAAATTAATGAAGTTCAATGGAACAGTTCACACGGAGCACGTGTGTGAAAATTCGTGAGCAGGAGACGCTCACCCCACGCCTGTATCTGTACTTCCAAACCACTGCGTAAAAAAACACACCGAGCATTCTAGAATTATTCATATGGCAACGGTAAATGTTAGTTTAAATATTAATGCTCATTTACACACACACACTCACTCATGCATGCACACTCTCTCACTCACACACAGTGTTTCTACACTGCTGGAACCTATATCCCACTCACAGAGAGAGCTTTGAATTTTGCTATAACATCATGTGGGCACTGAGAGAGTATTTCCCAATCAAGTACAGTACTGTATTACTTATGTGCCTATGTAACCACTAAGCAATCTGGAGGTATGACTATTCCTTCAACACACTTTAGACTGCTCCATCATCCTTGGTTATCTACACAATCCAAGTGATCTGTTATATCCAATAGTTCGATCTTAAGTTTGCTATTATCCCCAGTAAACTCTTGAACTTCTGACATGTGCAATTCACTATCATCCATGTGCAGCCTCTTTCAGGAGTTCAACAACCAACAGGTCACTCACAAGGCTCCTTAGGCCATTACAGTAATACCATTAATAATAATAATAAAACACACACACAGATCAACTTAGAAGGAATTACAGAACTGGTGGTTTTGGTCACTAAAACCTTGAAATTTTGGGCAACCCTCAAAAAATGCATAATTGAAATTAATAGAATGTTCTGAAATTCAAGTAGTTTTTATGACTGTTGTTTAAAGAAGAGGACAAATTTATTCAACTACTGCACTATTTGTGTTGTATAACTACTTACCATGAACTTCTTGAATAGTTTCATCCAAAGACTTTTGAGTATTTTCACTTTTCCGAAGTCCTGCTGTTACTTCTAGCTCAAAGCTTGGGCCATACAGCGGAAAGAACTGATGGGAGGAATTATTTTTTTTTAATATATCAGAAACACAAAATTTCAGTTTATATATAGCAGAGGTCCCCAATTGTAGTTCACGGGGGCCATGGCACCGGCGGAACCATATTATAGAGCCCGCAAGGGTTTATTAGAACATTTTGAGGTAATTGGGAATCTCTGTCAGAGTGAAAAAAATGAAAATATTCAATAACTTTATATGACTTAAGAGAGAGAGAGAACCCCATTTGTCCCTAATCTGTCATATACAGGATGTTGTATTCATCACAGACCGGGCCCAGAGAGAGAGAGAGAGCTAGCATAATCCAAAAGTAAATGTAAAATTATGTAACTGGTAACATTTAAACAGTTACACTTATGTAAAACTGTAAATAACTGTACTGTATACTGTATATGTTTTTTTTTTTTTTTATATATCTTGAATACAGCTCCAAAGTTTTGGCGCCCTCCACTATATTTACAATGACAAATGTGGCCCAGAGCCTACACAAGGATGGGGACCAGTGATAGTATACAGTACAGGGTAATAACATTAATACTGAAAATTGTGAAAATAAATTGTCGGTTTAAAGTTTACTTGTCCAACAAAAATTACCAATTTGCACATGACAAAAAGAGGTTACATAGAGAGCTGTCAGAGCTGAGTAAATATTAATCCATAAGTGAAGATAGTACACCAGTGTCCACACAGTTACTGAAGAATTAGGGAAATTAAACAAGTTTTGAGAAGCCCTACAGAGTTCACCTTGAAAAATGCACATCTGAAGATCATATAAGCTAACTTAAAAAGTGAAGATATGAGAGAAGTGAAGCTGAGAGACAATGAATGAACCATGTAGTACAGAGGAATGTGTAATGGCAGACAAGCCTACAGTTTTGTTGCTTAAATCACTTACACTGGTAGAGATTGTGAGATTGATAATAACAGAAATCATGTTCATGTATTGTTAATGCCTCTAATTTATGTAAGAAAACATTTGTAAAACATTTAATTCTTTTCATACCTGGTGCTCTGGAATTTCAGCACTGATGGGAATATTTAAGATTTCAGAGGTGATAGTAGTCCATAATTTGGCTGTGTTCACTTTGTTGTAACCACCTGAAATATTACACATTTAATAATCAGATAAACAATTGATGCAAACAGTAAACACTTTCTCTCACATATACTGACACACATTCAGTGAATACTGTACTTATGAAGAATGTGGGATTGAATCCTGGAATCACATTTTATGAACAAGAGATGAACAAATAACTCATGATCTGCAGTACCCACTGATCACCACAAGACAGCCTGGTGCTATCAAGGCAATTTCTTCTCAGCCTTGCCTGAATCCATCAAATCTAAAAGAGGCGGGTCTCCATTTGGTAAAAATGTTGTCATTAAAACAGAAATGTTACTGAGCTTTGGATTAATTACATCCATAATCACAATTCATGCCTCATAATTTTTCAGTTTTAGAAAAAGGTCATAAGAAACCTTTTCACATCAGAACTACCCGGTAGCCATTTTCATTCAACAGAAGATGGATGGGAAATTTAGTACAGTAATACAGTACAGTAAGTTCACCTTTTAATTACACAGTACAATGAAATTTCAGGATTCATTCCCCCTTTTATCATCACAAAAGTTCCAAAATTTACTCAAGATTTATAAAAGCCAGATAGATAAGGGGACGAGGTGGATACAATTGACTATGAAAGGCATCCTAAACTGGGAAGTCCTCCCAGAACCATGCAGTCATCTTAAAATGCAAGATAAACAACAAGCTTCAAATGTAGAACAAAAGATCCATCTGTTCAAAATGCCGTACGAGAGGTAAAGCCTTGATGTCAAGAGTAGATGTGTTAATTTATTTTCCTAGTACAGTTTCCCACTTTTAAATGTAAATTAATGGATTTAGATGTACGGTATAAATAATTCAATTAGAGGTATAACATGGACATTTGGCATTTTTAAATTCTGAATATGTATCAAGAGCATACACAGGTCAAAGGGAGTGTTATATGTTCTTCCTGAGTGGCAATGGAAACATTTGTGTCTTAACCTTTGGGTTTCATTTATCTGGCTAAATCTGAATACAAAGCTGAAAGCAAAACCAGTTTAAAAATAAAAAAGGAGCCATAAACATGACTGCCTGTTAGGAAGAGTGTGGATATAGAACACTGAATAATAAGCCTTCAATACACTATGAAATGGTAAGACCAGCAATGCACTCAGCAGACTTAACTTCCCAAACTTAAGTTAGGTACCCAATTACAGCTGGATGAACTGGGAATACCTCAGGAATGAACCAGCAACCCTTAGGGCAGAAAATGAGTCTGTATCCACTCAACCACTGTACTCCTTTTATAAGTTAAGTGCATGTAATCTTCAGCCTGATTGGATATCAATATTAATTGTCTGACATCCTACTTAGAATGCAGGGAATTTTCTGCACCTTGGGAGTATTGGAACAAACTTCTGACACTTGTCTCACATTTGATAAAGTACAGTAATTCATTTTTTTTTACATTTGGGATAAAGATGTTGAACCATTTTAGGGTTTGAATGACCTTTTTTTCCTCTTGTGGCTCTGTTCACAAGAAAGTCTGGAATAAAATTACATGGACTTAAGCACATTATTACTTCCATTTTTAATGCTGCCTTATATGCTTTCTTTGCCTCTGTGAGTAGTTTGTACCAGTTGGTTTGGATCAACCACTCATCCTGAAAACCAAACAACAAATCCCTTCCTTTTGAAAGCCATAGACTACTTCATGCATTGATTGAATAGTTTTGCTTCTTAAATACTTATTTGTCTGAACAAGTTGATGGTAATGTAGTATTCATTGATCCAACAGGACAGAATTTTTGCTTCTGAACACAGATAGCCCTAGGTCATGACAAAATTTATCATGAGGTGTTCTGGGATAGTGTGATATTGCAGGTAACTTGTCAAACGACCTGTCAACCTTAAAATAATGACTTTCAGTGAAATGCAACTATTCATTTAATCTATGACAATTAAAAAAAGCTACAGATATTTACAACTTGGTATAGTACAATAAACTGGAGTGCGGCGGTCGAGTGGTACAGCACCTTCCTCCTATACGGGGAATGGTGGTTCAATTCCCGGGCACTCACAGTTCACCCAGTTGTAAAGGGGAAGTGAAGGGGGTTGAGTGTAGTATTGGCCATGCTGCCTCCTTGTGTACCAAAACAGTGTGCTGTATCCACACTGTCTCTACGAGGCAGTCATGCCTATGGGACCCACTTTCACAGTATGTATAAACTAACCTCCACCTAGAAAGAGGGTGGGCTTGTTGAGGTTGAGAACATGCCGTACACATGCTCTGAAAGCTTCAGGGGTTAAATTTGCTCCTCCAAGTGGGTCACCACATATAGCATCAGCCCCACATTGACACACAACTGCATCTGGTAAGTATACTTCACACAAGTTGTACAGAATACTGGAAAGAGGAAAATGGACATTATATTCTACTCCACATAATTATATTGTATACAGTAAACTATAAGATATTTACTAGATTACATTCCTGAGCAACCAATAAATATGCAAATCTATAAATAACTGATTCATATAACTTAACCCTCTCATGGTCTTTCGATGCAAATTCTGTCGCTAAGCGCTCTGTGCTGGCTCAACCCCTTCCGCTCAGTCGTATCTCACACTGACAGCAGAAACGAGGGAACAGTGAACAGGCCTCATCAACTTCCTAAGTTTCATCCACTAGCCTCATGGGCAGGCAGATGCATCTCTAAGAGTATTATTTGGGTCTGGACCACTATACACAATGTTTATTAAAATGGAAAAATTTTTCCTGTTAACGACGCAACCTGCATGGAAAGACTGCAAGAGGGTCAGATTTCTGACCATGGCCAGGAGTACTAGAGGGTTAAAGGAAAATTTGGTTGTGCCCCAGACTGACATGTTGGGGGAAATATTCATTTTTAAAATGATAATACCCTGTACATTTATATATCAAATATTTAAATAATATATAATACTGTACAGTATGAGTTTATAATAGATCCCATCCAATCCATGTCTTACCAATCTGCTGCCCATCAAATTTTGGTAAAACATAAACATAATCCATCTACTATAATACTGTACTTTATGATACACAGCAAAATGTTTCTATAAATTATTTTCTATCATAACATCATTATGTAAAATTTCTTATCCAATTGACATCTAAAGTTTTTTAATTACTTTTGCAATGCTAATTACTCGCCACCTGTGGTTCTTCAAAGTTAGTTTTTAGATTTTTGTGTTATTCTGGAGGAATGTAAGTAGTTAAACACATTAAATTTAAATTAAAAGAGAAAAGACCGTTTCGGCTATAATCTTGAACTCACCATTTTTGTTCAAAGTCTTAATACAATATACAGGGTGATTCAGCAAAGAGTACATTAAATTGAAGAATGAAATCCTTGGATAATTCTAAACCACAAGGTCTCTATGGTAAAATGTCAGATTCTACATAGCTTCCATGTTACAATACATTTAAGATGTATTAATGAGAGTGAATTTGAAGTGAAACCCCCATAGGTTTTTGTAATCATTTATTCACAGATCTCTACAGTGTGATCCCTCTTTGTTACAACCTGAAGAAAATGGTCAAAGTTGCCCCCTTCTGCCTCAATGCAGGCCTGTACACGTCATACCATTGATTGTTTGATGCGTTCCAGAATGCCTGAACTATATTTAATTTGCGCACACCTGTTACGAACACGTGGGCATATGCAGAATCTGACATTTTACCATAGAGACATTGTGGTTTAGAATTATCCAAGGATTTCATCCTTCAATTTATTGTACTCTTTGCTGAAATCACCCTGCATGTACTCCTGAACATGCTGATTAAGGATCTTTCACCCACAGTTTGATATCCGTATAACAACTTGTCCAAATGACATCTTAAATGTTTTAATTACTTTTGTAATGCTAATTACTCGCCACCTTTGGTTTTTAAGGTCACTTTTTGGTTTTTATGTGTTATTCTGGATGTACTTCAGTAGTTAGACACATCAAATTTCAATTGCGAGAGAAAAGGTGTTTTCAACCCAGAAATCGGTAAGATCAAGATTATGGATGAAACAGTAAGCCTTACCATTTCAGCCGTAATCTTAATGTCACCAATTTTTTTTCAAAATCTCAGCATGCTGATAAAGGATCTTTTGTCCACAGTTTGATATCTATATAATTACTTGTTGTATACAGTAAAAAGGTATTCAAACATTGAGTACAGTGTACACTATACAGTACAGTATACATGTACTGTATTGAATAAATTACGCTTCATGATGTCAATGAAATGTAGACAACTTAGAGAGTTCGGGTGCACTGATATTATTTACAACATCAACAGTAAAACCTGACCCCTGCATGAAACATGAAATACACCTAATACAGTACCAACCTTTCTATTAAGTAGACAAACTGCTTGTTATTTATCCCTGCTTTGTATGGGATGTTGAAACTGTAATATCTGCCTTTACCTTGGCCTGTATCTTTACATTTTCCAGTACCAGGGAAGAATCCTGCCTCCAACTGATGAAATGACATTGTAACCACCTTTGGACTGAAGAAGAAAGCATTCTCCACACCATCTCCTAGGGATATACATATCAGTAAAATTAATTATATATATCTCAGTATAATTAAGGATATTACTAATTGTAGATCCAAGAAAGGAATTATCATGAGTTTTCCATAAATTTTTCCCTTTGCTCCATACCTCATTATCTATTACCTTCCATCTTCTCCTATATGCATAGGTAGGATTAAAAGATACAGAAGCCTTAAGATATGGTAGATATGATAAAGAGAGCACGGACAAAAAATACAGTGACAGGATTTTAAAAAGCCTGGAGGAATTTCACATACTTTCTCATACCTTCAATGTGCATACAATATGTACAATGTGAACCCTAAACATACACTAGCATGAAGTATGAATGACTCTGATATACACTCTACGACTTTAGTCATGGACAGCTGCACAGAACCTACCTCTGGCAATAAGGAAAATCATAAGTTAAAATTATGATATGATATAAATCAAATAAGAAGTTTAGTAAGTTTAAAGATTGCAGTTAAAATTTTTCCTCATTGCCAGAGGTCATTAGTGAAGGTTCCGTTTAGCTGTCCACGACTTCAGTCCTAGAGTGTACAAAATCCAATATCACCCTTACATCTTTACAGTATCTCGCTTGGCATCTCTTGACCCCCACTAAATTACCTATACACCTCATTTAGTTTTCTTGCCAATCCTCTTGCTTGCATACCTTCAGTGGTTTGCCATAAACCTCCTTTACCACTCTCTAATTTGTCATTTACTCTATTACACATTAATTCACTCCCTACTATTCAGTTCTTTATGGACTTTTCATTCCACACTTTATTTTCACTTCTTCATGCTTCTTATATTCATTTCTCAGAACTTCCATTTTATTGAAGAAAGTTATTGTCTGTATACACTTATCTTTGAGCCTGATCATGTACAAACGATTGAAATTTGTTGAATCTTTATTGTAAGATGCTCTAGCACTTTTAACTATAAATTTAAAAAATTATACTGGACATATATGCCTCACCTGTAGTTATATAGCCCTACAATAATACTGTACCAATTTAGTTCTGAGAGTGAGTTTTCATTTTCATCATACCAATACAGCTCGTATGGCATCATATATGTTTATGAAGTACAATACAATATAGATGATCAGTGAAATGGGTGGTCTTTCAACACAAGAATGTGTTTGTCAAAATTTCAGCCTTGCAAAATAAGGTACAAAGTAGGCATTTTAAAAATACAGTCCTACACTTATTGATCTGTTTGCATACAAACTACTTCATATAGAATCACTTGTCAGTATTAGCAACAGTACACCAATCACAAACCCAGTTAAGATGCATTTATTATGGTTGAAATTCACCAAATGGCAATCCATGAGTAGTCTTGACACCACACGTGCTTGTGAATTCTGAATACTGGGCAAATGGTAAATCAGTCTAAAGTTTATTATAATTTCAATCTAATCTAGACTGGACAATACAATTTACATTTATTTTTCCAAAGTAAATACTGTGACAATATTTACAGCTCAAATGGCTGAGAAGACTAGCATAATGTAACATGAATAAGAGACCACTGAATTTTTACAAGTACATAGTACAGGTATATCCATTTGATTTGATAATTGGCAAAGCGATCACATTAGTCACTTTGACAGTTTTCATGTTTTCAAAAGAATTCTGCCTTATTCTATCACAGTTTCTGTGTACACTCACTGACCTTTTGCTTAGTCACAATTCTTGTGAATACGTATATCAGGTTAACAAAATGCATGTACTGTAGTATATTTGAATCTTTTGATAAATTGAAATATGAACAGGACTGCAGTTGAGTTTCCTCTTCACAGGATCTCTCTATCTCTAGTGCTCTCAATCTTAATTACTAAAGTACTGAATTACCAAAGTTTTACATTCATTCATAAGAGTTGGCACAAGCACTCCTTCATTCACTCTTCTTGCACAATGTGTACTAGAACTCTTCCCATTTATTTATTGCTCAGGTGTCCACTAGTACTTCTTCCTTGCATTGATTTATTATTAACCTCAACTTTACCATTTTCATCTTTGATAAACATTACTCCTATATATCTAAGTTTATCTACAAATCCCAACACTTTCCTATTTGTACAGTCATTTCACTGACACATTCTTTTCCTCTAAAATACCATAAATGTACTTATTCCAGCATTTGCCTTCAACAGTCTTCTCCTGAAAACTTTACCAATACATATGTAGTATCTTTCTCCCCTTGTTATCACTAGACTCAGCTAGAAATACAGCATCAGCATCAGCTTCATACAGTGGATTTGACAGCTTCATACAGTCGATATCACAATTTCCACAGTGTCACCATATATCAAGTTATATTCTGTTCCACGGTCTCCCATTTTCACATTCAGAACTTGCACTGCCCCAACATAGAACAATAAACAAGTGCAGAGCATAGACATGTACAGTCAGCCAAAGATGCACCGACCCCACCCTGAGTCTTGTGCTCACAATTTTACCTGGCAATACTTGCTAATGAAAGGCTGTATGTAAAGGTGATTGTGATTGGTGGATCTGTTTTCGGCTGTATCACTGTCAGGATAAATATTAAACAAACCAAAGGTAACATTTTTATGATAATAAAGTACTCATCAATGTTTTAGATCATGAGAAGTTTCCAAATGTTCGTATATTTGTTTAAATAATGAAGAAAATTTGATGAGAATCTTGTGGCAGCTGTGGTTGTAGTTGAGTTGCCAATTCATTAATACAATTTTCTTCATTATTTAAGCAAATATACAAAAATTTGGAAACTTCTCATTAACTTAAGTAACAATGAATAGTTTATTATAAAAATTCTACATTTGGTTTGTTTAATATTTATCCTAACAGTGATACAGCCAAAAACAGATCCACCAATCACAATCACCTTTACATACAGCCTTACTTTACCAAGTATTGCCAGGTAAAATTGCGAGCACGAGACCCAGGGTGGGGTCGGTGCATCTTTGGCTGACTGTACATATGTTTTTGGACCCTATCATGAAAAAAAAAAAAAGTATTTAGGGAAGATATATCTCCAATACAGTATAGTTACAGTTTGTAAACATGTTTGAGTTCAGAACTTCAAAGTTGTCATGATAATGCTCTGTAGGCCCATAGGCACACTATAAACATCTTTACATACATATACACACAGGTTCCAAAAGCAGTACAGTATTGTGCCAACTTTGAACTCGTGATAGTGTCACCTCTGATAGACATGGGTAATTATAATATAAACTACACAAATCATTTAAAAATTGATACCATAAACCTAAAACTAACCATGATGGATGTCCAGATCAACATACAAGATCTTGTCAAACTTGGTGCGTAAATGTCGAACAGCAAGAACGATGTCATTCACATAACAAAAACCAGCAGCACAATCCCTGTAAAAAACAAACACGAGTCTCAGTTAGATTTTTCAAAAGTAAATGAAGTAAAATTTCAATATTGAAAAGGGATGCCACATGAACAGTTATGAATAGCTAATGTATTGACAGAAATGTCATATTATTCAAACTTTCCCAGCCTCACCTAACCCAAATCTAATATAATACAGTACTGACTTAATATGCAGTAGCTATCCAAGTTCCAACAAAATTTCCTAAATGGTATATTTGGGTGTTCATTGGCAAGAGATAAAAGAGGTAGATTTTAAAACTGTGCCTAGTGTTTTTTTTAGCATCTTTCAAATTTTTATTTTAGTGTGTGTGTGTGTGTGTGTGTGTGTGTGTGTGTGTGTGTGTGTGTAAAGCCCTCAAAAACCACATTAAACAGAGGATACCTTGACTTTACACTAGAATTTGTACATACCTGTACTTGTACAAGTATAGTACAGACTAGGGTTGCCATACGTCCGTATTTTCCAGGACATGTCCTCCATTTAGGTCTCGAAATCTTCATCCGGAAGGAACTTTTTAAATTCTTCAAAAGTCCGGAATTTCAGCTTCCATCATTTTCTCCACGGAAATAAACATGAAACTGTAATGACGAGAGAGAGAGAGAGAGAGAGAGAGACTGTGAGAGAGGGGAGGTGGAAACAGTAGAGATCGTGTTCAGTTTTCATCAGCTGATAAGTCACGTGTACGCCTGTACGGTGTTGTCAACTTAGCTGCTAGCAGTTTTTGGGCTAGCGTGTAGTGCCATGTCCTGCTTTTCCTTGTTCTTCAGCCACGCGCATTATTATATATATTTTTTTTTGTATTTAGTGCTATTACAGCCATAAATGAAATGATGAAAGTATACCATTTTTTTCTTATGGCCTTTTTTACACTGTAGCATTTGTTTTTATTGTCCTGCATTTAAGGCATTTTAGCAATTTTCAACCATAATCTATCCACTTACGCTATATTATTTACGCGTGTCGACAACTATGACGGTGACCGGTGGTTGGCCAGTCTTTAACCTGCAGTGACAGTGTTTGATCTTAGTCTTTGTTGTGGGTTTGTCGCTTGGTGCCACAGCTAGTGCTTACGATTTGTTGTACTTTTCCAGAGCATAAAACGGTCACGGCTGCATCAAGGTTACATAGCGCCAAAGTGTGTGCCAGGCGGGGGCGGGGGGGGGGCATGATGTCTTCGGGAACGTCCTCTTTTTTTAATGTTCAGATATGGCAACCCTAGTACAGACTGACTTTCCTACATTTGACTGCAAAGATTTGCCGACCTTTAGATTTTGTTTATTTTTGCAACAATGAGATACAATACTACAGTAGTTATATAGCTAATCTAATTTGGTTCAAATTCTTCCAAATTTTAGCTACTTTTGTAGAAACTATGATATGTAAACTTTACTCTATTGTATGCGCAAAATTATTACAGTACTTGCTTTTATTATCTGATTCTCATTTGCTGCAAGATTAAAGAAACTGCACTTTTAACTGTAACCTACAGTATCCCACACAACTAAAACTTTTTGTCACCAAAGCAGAACAAATCTATTACAGAAGAAAGAATGACTGGATGACAGAAGATTCTGCGTGTGTGTGTGTGTGTGCTTCTAACTGAGAAAAGCTTGAAAGTATGAAAAAATATTCACACATACTTTTACCTTTGAGCATGATGCCACCCACCACACCAGTTAATAGCAATTTTAGCCTGGCAAGTTGTGAGGGCTCGAGCAGCTGTGAGGGAGGCTCCAGCCACTTGGCACACTATTGTCCATAAGTTGTTGATAACTGGGCAGTCAAATCCTGTAAGAAATATATTAAGTGTTTAAGGGTTGGTCAAGTGTCGCCAGTAACATAGGGTGGCTTGTGAAACAACAAGTCAGTTGGAAGATGCTCAAACAGCTCAAAAAACAATAAAGAACAAAGTTATGGATTTAATTTTTTTTTTCAAAAACAAGGGAGAGAAAAAAAAAGAATCATAGTTTCTAGTAACCAAAGATTTGGTTGAAAAGGTCCATTAAATCAAGACATAGCCGACATTTAAAAAAAGTCGAAGAACCAGTAATATATGCTGATCTACTGTATGTGTGACACTGAAACTTAAATTACAGTAATTTCTATATCTATGTCAGTATTACCTAAGCCAAATTCATCTTCTATTATTTCTTGATCATCAGGTTGTGCCACTTGGAGGAATTTGACATATTCTTCAGAATGAAAACCTCTAACTTCTTCTTCAGTAGCTGGTGCAGATGGCACTACTTTCATCTTACTTTGAAGTCCATAGGCACTTATGAGATGATGAACTAAGGTTGCCTGAAGAGAAGTTAATAATTAAAATATTACAATTTACATGTTTTTCTGACAATCCAAGAACAATAAATCCCACCTACAGGTAATCCACAGTATTAGGTTCCAGCAGGTCCCATGGATTGTAAAGTATGAATTGTAAATTAATGACACCCATGAGAAATAAGAAGTTATATTATATTATATTATAGGTCTCAAAACAACTAAGGGGAGTGAAGTGTAAGGAGTGTCTGAAAAGGTATCAATGAAAGTGAGCAAATACATCTGAGGGATGAAATGTTGAGTTATATGATGGAATATAAATTGATCTCTCCTACAATAAAACAGCTCTTATGAGCCAAGGAATAATAAAACAGGAAGAAAGAGAGTGGTTTGGGGAAGACTTGAATAAATGGAGCGAAAGATTTCATTTGAGAGAGTAATTCTGACAGAAGACTAATATACTGTCTGCAGGAGTGTGCTACATTATGACCTGTAGGTAAGTATTGAGTGTGAGGAAAGGATGGAAATGGGGTAGAGATTGATAGGAAGATGTGCTGATGCACAAGTTGATGGCAGGAATGAATTAAAAAATAAATTCATAAATACACAAGGAGATATGACAAGGGAAACACACCCTGTTAGCTTAACACAACTTCTCATCCAAACATCATGGAAATAGAGGAATGGTCAGAAATCCATTTATTTCTGAAGTCAGTAAATTTATCACTAACTTGAATCTGTCTTTGCATAAACAATGTCACCATCACAATAATGAAACAAGGCCAATAAAAATACTGTAAAAAAATTAACAGGTAGCATTCCTACAGTGCTAAGGATGAAAGCAACTCTGAATGACTGGGATCTAGTGTTACTGTACTCCTGAGGAAGTGTTATTGTAGTTGTACTGTAGTTGAATAGATTGTCCCAAGCTGCAAAACTCCCCAACCTTTTAGCTTCTACAAGTAGTTACACACATTCCTAACGATATTTCTACCCCATGCTTTGTATTTACAATATCATTATGGTGAGACTTTATACAACAGGAGATATAAGTTTTATCAGGAAGGGCAAATACTTTACCCATTAAATTGTCCAATAATCAGAAAAAAGTGTTTTGCAGATACTATAGTGAAGAAGTTTAAGGTTGGAGGTAAAATTGTTAATAGTCATCACTGAGTTTTTCAAATTTAATAACTTATATACAGTATTGATTTTAAATAATAAGGACATTACTTAAGGTGACATACAGAAAATGGAGACTTCATCCTACCCTATGTTTCAAAATTGGTACTGCATTGCTGCAGGCAAGAAGCTTCGGATCTGCAACGTACACAACTCCTGGGTTACCTTTAGTGGTCATTGTATTGACGCAGACTCTGTAAAATGAAAAGTACATGTATCATACCTTTAAATACATCTGTAATACAGCAAGGTCAAAAATCTCTGGTTTTGCTTTGCATAACCTTTTCTTGGGGCTGCAACACCTGTGCAGTGATAAAACAGATGAACTGTACACTACATGCTTTGAAAAGAGGGAAAGCCTATAGTATACCTGGAACCATGATATAGTACTGTAATTTTAGTAAGACTAAAACACTTGCACTTTATACTGTATCTTATACAGTACCCTGTAGTACTTGAATTCAAATTTGGCAGTGCAGTACGTGTACTATTTGTACTCAGTGTCTAATTTCTATTAAAATCTGAGAGTTCAGAACTTTATTTTTAAATATCTAAACATAAATGGCACATAGGCAGTGGTAATGAAGAAAAATTGCTTGTTATTAATTGTTTTCTAACACCAAATATGAACTTTTATAGGAAAATCTTATGAATTCTTTAGACAGTGGAGCTCTTCTATGTAGAATTTTCACCAAAGAATTAAAAAAATCATAAGTTTACGACCAGAGTACTGAGAAACTCAATGGAATGATCATTCATGTACAGTAGTGCCCTTTGCATACAAAATGTCATCCACGGTAATAGGTTGAAATTCACTACATACCAATACTGTACTGCTCTATATATTTAAAATTTTATGCTGGGCTGTATTAAGATGAAGCCCTAAATGATATAAAACCTTACTAATGAGTCTTAAGATCAGTAAGATTAGGTTTACATTATTTTACGTAGGGGAAATGGGATGAGTGGGTGTACATTATAATATGCTAAGATGGCAGGAAGTCCAGCGATACTGAGTTTGGGCTGTAGATGGAATCCTATATCCTAGGCATACCATACAGTATTTTGTTAACAGAGCTCTGATCCTAGGGAAGCCCCAGCGTTTGAACTTAAGACAACGACGATGAGTCAGTAGACTATTACCCTTTATATCCCCCGGGGCCCTGGGGACACACTCAACACCAATATTAATAAAATATCTCTTTAAAAATATATCATACAATTCTGCCAGTTGAGAAACCTATGCAGTTGTATTACAATGCAAACATTTTACTGAAATAACATTGCAAAATTAAAATTATTGAATACTATTGTTTACCGTTCCCGCCTCTGTCTGCGCCTGCGCACAAGTGTTCATGTTTTAGAACGGATATTACTATTATTATTTTTTCTAAAATTTCCTCCTATGCAATAAATTATACGGTATCTTAAATAAATAATATAAATAATATTCATATAAATAATAGTGCTCATAATAAAGTAATATTAAGTGGTGACATATTCAATTGACCTTGCAGATATTTAACTTTTCTTACATAGCAAAAGAGATCATATTGATGATAAGTACATTAATTTTGTAATTTTTTATCATCTCATATTATGAACAATTACACCAATTTAAGTTGAGAATTAAAAATATATATAATAAAAGGAGCTGGTAATGTGGGGGGAGGGGGGAGGCAGCTGGGGAGAGGGAGGGTGAGGGTCAGGGCGCGGGCAGCTGCGTGCGTCGAGTAGTCAGCAAGCAACCGTCTTCCATCGTTATTGCATGTGCAGTCTAGCTCGACGCCTACCAGCAACCCACTCCTTGCACTACCTAGTTGCGCAGAGCCATGAAGAGACAACGAAGAGAGAGTGGTCAGGGCAGCAAGAAGTGTGTGATGCGGCGCGCGCTGGACGGCTGCCATGGTGAACAAAGGAGTGGCGTGGTAACGGTCGTCGGGGCGGCGGCCGCGTTCAAACCCATGGCGTCCCACTCTCCTGCCACCACCCACCCCACCACCACCTTCCTCCTACACCTCCGGGCTCTGGCACAAGACGTCTTGGTAAGTTACAATCGAGTTTCTGGCTAACTTTTGTGTATTCTAGAGAGGAGTGCAGTAATTATGAAATTGGCGCCATGTTGTCGGCGCCAATCTCAAATAAAAGTGGGAGTTATGATGTCCATGCTACCTTGCGTGACCCAGGAAACTAAAAACTATAAAATATTGCAAGGTTTGTAAAGCAGAGAACAGGGACTTGCATATTATTACAATATGTAATTTTTCGGACAGAATATCTGATTTTTACCATCACATGTGGTGGACATGGAGGTTAGGCTATTAATCTCAGCTAGTATTTCTGCTTTTAGAGTTCTCCTGAATTGAATTGTGAGAAGCAAGAATGTTACTGAATTGAAATTGGTGGCATTTTACGTATATTGTACATACCTTTTGTCCTCTAGTGAAGAGGAGTAACATTCACAATTGGGGGGGGGGGGTGTTACCATTCAAATATGGGTCAGTTGCACCCAAGGATTAGTGGAGTTAACAGTAGCAGGAATTGATAGAGGGAGATCAGCGAGGCATTATTTCTTGGTTTAACGTTTTTTTTTTAATTTCGGTATGGTTTAACTTTAACCCAATATTTATCTGATCCTACCAAAGTAATGTTCTATTCATAGTTTTAGCATCATTTGAAATTAAAGCTTTTTTCCCACGTGTTCCTTATAGTTTTGACCATATCTGCAGAAATTAAATTTTTCACCTACAGTACTCCTGTATTTCAGAAAATACTGAAGATTTTTCTTTTTCAGTTCCTTAAGACTGTTAGGAAATTCTTGCCCATACTGTAACTTTTGAACTTGAGTGTTCTTTCTGTAATCATTTCTTCTGTTACACTTGGGAGTGTGCAGCAGAGGAGTCTGGTGTACTCTTAACTGGTCTGGTGTACTGAGGGTGGTGGCTGATGGATTGCATCTGTTAAAATTTTGATACTTCAGTGCGGAGGACATAACATTGCTACTGCCATTTGAAGAAAAAAAAGTGACTTGATACTGAATGGCCAGTTTCATCTTTGCAAGTTTGGTTAAATTAACTGGTAATTAAATTATATAAACTGTCCTGCCTTTGCTGATGACTTGACTTTTATATATATATATATATATATATATATATATATATATATATATATATATATATAAGCAAGCAAGCAAGCAAGCCACTTTACCCTTCACATTATCATTGATCCAGTGTCTTATTTCAGAACTCCAGTAAAGCCATCACTGAACTAATTGATTATGCCTCAAAAAAGTTCTTGACTTCGTTGACACAAAGCGCCTGGGAAGAAGAGTGTGAATTGATTGTCACAATCCTGTACTTGACAATTGCTGTATCAAAACAACGGAATTTGCTGTTTGTGAAAGGGGTCCTCGTAGAGTTTTTTGGAAGGTGTAAGTAAAACTTTAAATTTCAGTCATTTTTACCATTTTATATAAAGGTATTGTAATCCCTTCAGGGATCCCACTTGCATATCATGTCGTTTCTCTTTGGTGGAAACACGACACATCAGTTTTTACTTTAAATATTAAGAATCCCTTCTTTTTCTGTACTTGATATGTACTATAACTGAGCCTCGATGATTATTCTTAGATATGCTTCATATGGTTTTAAGTCATATTATAATTTCTAACCTCCCCATACATATTTGGAAATCTCGCACATGTATTTGGTTAAAGATAATGACCTATGTTTATTAATGTAGAATTTAATTAAATTCCACAATATATGAAGGTTAAAGCAAGCTATCTTTACAGGGATTGAAGATGCAGGGGGACTGGAATTCCCAGATATATTAAAAATTGTGAAATGTGAATGGAAGTGCACTGCATTTTCAACATTACTACTATTACATGCCAACCTCTTCCCTGATGAATGTGATCTTGCTACACTGGAAGAGTCTCTTACATGGAAGAGTGGATGGTTCAAGAAAAAACCACCTCTGTGGTTACTGAATTCCACTGCATGTACAGATATATTGAAGGTTAATTCCTTGTTGATGAAATCGGCGATGGTACTCGGAGGAAAGGTCATTGACTTGGAGTCTGAGGACACTTATATTGGGTCTACAGAGAAGTTTCTCTATGCTAATCAACTCTATAAGAAGGGTGAATTTAAGGCAAGCATTGAGTGTTTGCATAGTATTTCAAGTCAAAATTGTGGAGCTGACCTGCAAGGATGGATACTGTGGCTGACAGGTCTTGGACTAATTAAATTAGGAAAATCTCATACTGCTTTACTAAAACTTCAAGCAGCTGTTGATAAATGTCAGAAATGCATTCCTGCAATCTTCAATATTGCTCAGATATTCTCCGACATGGGCCTTTGCACTGCTGAGCTTGAAACCCTCTCCCTCCTAAAATGTGTAAGTATAAATTTAGTTGGCCTTGTAAATTGCAAACAGGATATTTGCTTTTGTAGTAAAGATCTCTACATTTCTTTTGTGAATCGACTCGCCATGTAGGAGAGATACTGCAGGGTTGGCTTGATGGGTGTGTCTCTGGTGCATGTAGTTTCAATCATGACTAGAGATTTCACACTCATCCAGTTGGCATCTGTGATTGCATCATAACAGCTTCAAAGGTAAGACCACTTTGTATGCTAACATAAGATCCTGGGAATTTAGGTGTCAAGGTCTTTAATTGGTGGTGGTACTCAATGGCTCTGTTAGTCTTGCTAAGCAACAAATAATAAGGGGAAGCTATTTAGTATATTGGTTTCAGTATGCAAATTTTAGGTTGCTTAAAAATCTTGATTCTTTGGACTACAACTGTCACCCACATAAAGTCTGTTGGGTTTCATTTACCTGGTCTTTAACTAGGCATGGAAATCCATGAAAGATGGTCGTGGCATTTCTGCTGGAAAACTGGTAATTTGCATTAAAGATGTTTTCCAGTAAATTGTAACCTGTTTCCTCATACTGCAGTGTTATGAAATGTAAACTCTTTACTTTTCTTGTATTATAACTGGTGTAGCTGAGCAAGGGTATATAATAGTACAGTAATACATAATTTCCGAGGTAGGAACTACCACTGTGGTAGGGTTGAAATGCCTCCCATCACAGTGATAGTACCTTACTGGGAGGTTTGGTTTTTCATCTGCCTCATGTCATCTATACAAAGGGTAGGCCTATTTTCATCTTGCTTGTTAAATTTATAAATTTGTGTTTTTTATTAATAAAAAATTAATGTGAAATTTTGAGTTTTTTTTTCTAGCCTTGTGTGTGGCTGGTTGGGTGAATTTTCATATTTAAAAATGTGCTTGAACTTTCATTGTAACTGAAGTTGAAATCTAAAACAAGAAAATCTTTTTAAGTTAGTATTTCTATGCTAGTCATACATAAGACTAAGTACAGGTATCTTTTTCTGGCCTGAAAAATAGATGTATGCACCTATACCTTCCATTTTTTGCTTAGGTGTTTTCATGGCACCAAGTTACCTTGCTTTGCCTAAACCAATAGCACATCCCCCAAAGATCATTTCCATGTTCTTTTCATTCATACATAATGTACTGATTTAATATAGGTGCAACCGAATTAAAAAGAAATGAGTAGCTACCAACTTCAATTGCTGTATAATGAAAATTGTATTGTTTGTGCATAATATCCTGGTTGGTATTAGAAACAGGAAAAGGATGGAGGAATGTTTTAAATATACTTTCTGCGAGTAAATAATTAAGACTAGATTCCTCATCTATAAATGTATGGATTGGTTAAGGTTGAAATGTTTGCATCAGGTACACGAGTCCTTGGTTCAATTCCTGGGGAGGGTGCTATCCATCGAGTTGGTGTCCACCAAACAAGGCAGGTTTTCTCTAGTTTCTCCTGTACTAACTGGATAATTTCATCTGGAACAATGGGGGATTATTCCTTTGGCTCCTGGACTTTCCTTAACCTGAATTAAATCATCTGATGGTAGCCAGAATAAAAATCTAAATTGATAATTGGTGGGAAAGGGTTAAATGAGCTGCTGCCCTCCTTTCCCTGTCGGTTACTAATTTGGTGCTCTTGTTAGATTTATATACATTAAAAAATACAATGTATGTGCTTGGGAATTTCCACTTCATGGCAAAAACACGCTAGTTCAAATGTCCAGTGACCATGTTTGACACCTTTATTCTGTACCTCGAACAAAACTTCAAGTCTAGCAGAGAATGTCTTGACATACATGTCATAGTTTACAAAAAGTAGTTTGAACCTAATCCTCTTATTTTCTGTTCCCAGAACCAAAATACAGATTTCATGAAGCTTGTTTGATTTTGGGGGAAAAAATTGGCACTGTTCATACCGGTACTACAGATGAAATTCAGCCGGATCAAAATTGAGATTATTTACAAATTTTAAGTGGCAAACTAGTTGATCATTTGTAAACTTAAGTACAGTATTACAGAAGTTAGATGAAATGTCTTGTTAAAAATGCTAAAAATTCCAGAGAGTTATACAAGGATGGCAGTAATATAGACTTTAGTCACAAGGTCCAAGAAAATTTGGTTACATGTTGTGGTACTTCTGACTGACATCTCCAAAAATACTGTATGAAGTTAAATTTTGTCCAGTCTGGCACTTGGTGGTGTTGAGTGTACTGTCACATGGAATAATCTAACAAGACCAAGATTGCCGAGTGTACATTCTCAGAGAATATCCAGTCACCATGGTTGACTTGGACTCTCGGTGATAACCTTAAGTGACTAAACTTCACATAACATTATTGATTACAAACATCAGTTTAATAATCTTGGAAATGCAGTGTTTTAAGAGAAATGGGAAAGTTAATTGTTGGAATTTTATGCTAATTTGTATTGAATTGTTTTTTTAATTCATGCGATGGGAGACTTGAATTGCTTTGTGAATATTCAGTACTACTACATGTATTAACAAAATCTTGAGGGCTAACTATTTTTTGAAGTCCATTGTAAACTCTTGGAGCAATCTGCCAGTGTGAGATCCTTCAAGACCAGATGTAATCAGCACTGGAGCAAGTACAGATACTATACATTCTAGAACCAGTACAGAGAAGTGACCAAGCAGCTAATGAGCCAATCGGTGGCAAAAAGGATAAAAGTAATTGGACGAGGAAATTTTTTTATAACTTGTATTCGTCATTGTAACGACATTGTGACCATGTGGGCACTTTTACAATTTTCCTCTCCAATCCTGCCAGAGTAAGACTGATGAGGTTATCCTCATCTTTTTCCACATTCATGTTTTAGTGGATATTGTATATGATATTTGTGATAGCATAACTGAATTAATACAATACTGTACACAAAAGATGGTTGGTGACATGCAGTATACTGTACTGACCTATACATGGTATGGGATTTAGGGAAGTGTTCTAGTGTGGATTGAATACTTTCTTCATGACTGCAAGTGGCCTGTGGTGATTAATGACATGAAATTGTTGTGTGTTCCTTTGACAAGCGGGGTACAACAGAGCTATACATTCCTCAATACAAATGTTTGCTGCTGATGCCAAGTTATTCTGTGAAATTAAGAACCACTCAGACTCTGAAGAGCTAGGGAAACATCTTTTATCAGCTTCAGGAGTGGTTGAAGAAATGGCTACTCGGATTCAATGTCACAAAGTGTAAGAGGATGCACCTAGGTCATGCCAATAGTAAGGAGGCATATCATAAGTCCCAACAGGATGATGAAACTGCATTAATAGAGACCGAATGTGAAAAGAACCTGGGTGTATATGTTGACAATGAACTGAAATTCTCGGGCCATTGTGAGAAGAAATTTAATCAAGCAACTAAACTAGTAGGTGTTGATATGCTAGAGACTGTCAGGCGATTGAAATGTCCAAAGGAGGGCCACCTGCACTTAAGTAATTCAGAGAGTTTAGAATGCTTGCAACTGCCTAATTTATACTACAGATGGGCAAGGGTAGACCCAATTGAAGTTTATAATCATCTCGGAGGGCTCTACTCAGTCGAGTGTCCATATCTGAAGCTGGCAGATGCCAGCCCCACAAGAGGTCACAGCTCAAGGTTGAAGCCACTAGTCCAGAAAACTGAGGGCTAACTTTTTCGTTGTGAGAATTGCTGTGAACTCTTGGAACAAATTGCTCAAAAAGTGCAAAACCTTGCGTATTTCTTAAGGCACAAATGTACACAAGGCCATGACTACACTGAGGCAGGAACACTCTTTGTGTCCTCTGCAACACAGAATACAGGTACAGGTAGTTATGCAGCAGCAGACTATGGCCAATGATACATAGTCATACTAAACAGACACCTTCCCTAATTCTAGTGACTTTATATAATGAAACAATAATGATTTTTATGAAAGTGTTATTTCTGACAAGCAATGACACCCTGGATGAATAGGTATAGACTGTTGTATGTACACTGTACTGCATTGTCTTCATTAGAGCATTAGGTATAATCCACAACTCATCAAAATTTTCAAGTATACTCTGTACAAGCAAAACCTGAATGTAATCAGTGTGAATTATTTGTTTGTCAAAAAAAAAAATTCTAGTAGGTGGTATTGTCTAGTTTTATCTGATGTTCACTTGCAAATCATATTCTATTCTTTTAGAGTCTAGAGGAAAGGGATGCTTTTGCACCAATGAATCTTCAGTCCAGCATCTTGGAGCTGCACCACACACCACCATCAGACCTTTCTCTCCGTACCCTGTGCATATTAGCCAGCAGGTGTCTGCAGTTGAAGGTGACTATTATATAATACAAAACTGCTACAAAGGCATTACTATGATAATAATAAAGTAGCCAAGACATTGGTCTTGTAGCTGTTATAGTGGGATTTTATTAAATTAAGGTTTATGGTCTTAAGTTTTGTTTGATAATATAAACAAATGATTGTATGACTGGAGAGGCAGTTACTGATTTTTTTTATTAACAGATATATGTAATACTGTACTGTTTAAATTTTATAGATGTACTCAGAAGCCATAGAGAAATTCACTGCCCTCTTGGAGAAGCTAGAGAAACACCATGAGGTAATGGTTACGTGCTCCAAGACATTATTGAAATCAGAGGATAGTGTGCCTGAATTAC